GTCGTGGCCTGGCCTGGTGTCATGGCCTGGTGTCGTGGCCTGGCCTGGTGTCGTGGCCTGGCCTGGTGTCATGGCCTGGTGTCGTGGCCTGGTGTCGCGGCCTGGTGTCGTGGCCTGGTGTCATGGCCTGGTGTCGTGGCCTGGTGTCGTGGCCTGGTGTCATGGCCTGGTGTCGTGGCCTGGTGTCGTGGCCTGGCCTGGTGTCATGGCCTGGTGTCGTGGCCTGGTGTCGTGGCCTGGCCTGGTGTCATGGCCTGGTGTCGCGGCCTGGTGTCGTGGCCTGGTGTCATGGCCTGGTGTCGTGGCCAGGTGTCGTGGCCTGGTGTCGTGGCCTGGTGTCGTGGCCTGGTGTCGTGGCCTGGTGTCGTGGCCAGGTGTCGTGGCCTGGTGTCGTGGCCTAGTGGTATCATGGCCTGGTGTCGTGGCCAGGTGTCGTGGCCTGGTGTCGTGGCCTAGTGGTGTCGTAGCCTGGCCAGGTGTCGTGGCCTGGTGTCATGGCCTAGTGGTGTCGTAGCCTGGCCTGGTGTCGTGGCCAGGTGTCGTGGCCAGGTGTCGTGGCCTGGTGTCATGGCCTGGTGTCGTGGCCTGGTGTCGTGGCCTAGTGGTATCATGGCCTAGTGTCGTGGCCTGGCCAGGTGTCGTGGCCTGGTGTCGTGGCCTAGTGGTGTAGTAGCCTGGCCTGGTGTCGTGGCCAGGTGTCGTGGCCAGGTGTCGTGGCCTGGTGTCGTGGCCTAGTGGTGTCGTAGCCTGGCCTGGTGTCGTGGCCTGGTGTCGTGGCCTGGTGTCGTGGCCAGGTGTCGTGGCCAGGTGTCGTGGCCTGGTGTCGTGGCCTAGTGGTGTCGTAGCCTGGCCTGGTGTCGTGGCCAGGTGTCGTGGCCTGGTGTCGTGGCCAGGTGTCGTGGCCTGGTGTCGTGGCCTGGTGTCGTGGCCTGGTGTCGTGGCCTGGTGTCGTGGCCTGGCCTGGTGTCGCGGCCTGGTGTCGTGCCCTGGTGTCGTGGCCAGGTGTCGCTTTTCGCTGTCTCAACCAGAACACTTTTTGGCAAGCTGTTCTTCTGATCTAAGCCAAGCCAGTTATACGTATATCAAATACTCACAAGATATTAAGGTTTTCAATACAAGCTTTTTGTATGGAATGCAGTCGAAATTGTCCAAGACAGCCGTTCATTGTTGGGGAGAAAAGTGATTGTCTTTCTTTCTCTCTTTTATTCCCTCTCTTTCTCTCCACATTGACATTCAAAAGACGAAGGGGTTGGGGGGGGGGGGGGGAGTGGTAAGTGGTTGTTTGTACATGTAATTGTCTATACTGATGGCCGTTAGAAGAATTCGACTAAAGGTCAGGTATTACCCTATTGCCATTATGGTACGCATCAATTTGGCAAATTTTCTGGCCTAAATATGAATAAGTGCAAGATTAAGCGAAGTAGAAAAGTTATAATGTGTGCAACTTCTAATTCAGTAATATTTTACCACAGCTGAGAACAATCTAAAAAAAAAATGAGCGTTTTCTTTCAATATTTATTTAGACAATTTCGTAAATTTAACTGAAAATGTTTTAATGCCATGAAGGTGTTATGATGCACCTAGGAAATTATCTAACAAATTATGCAGTAAACAAAAGCCACAGCCAGTAGGTCAAGCAATACCAAGAGGCAAAACTTACAATATAACATGGCCATTGTCTTTTCAAAAGCAACAACTCCAATGACCGAGCAAATGTTTCCATAATGAAAAACTTATTTGAGGCTGTGTGTCATTCTCACTCTCTCGCTCCCCCCCCCCCTCTCTCTCTCTCTCTCTCTCTCTCTCTATATATATATATATATATATATATATATATATATATATATATATATTTATATATATATATATATCTCTCTCTCTCTCTCTCTCTCTCTCTCTCTCTCTCTCTCTCTCTCTCTCTCACTCTCTCTCTCTCTCTCTCTCTCTGGGTGACTCATTCTTACACTCTGAACCTTACAAATTTACTGTTGCCAACACTGCTTTGTCATAAGCTTTCAACAAGTTACAAGGTGATACGAACACCACTCGACGCCCCTTCCAGTCTCCAGACAGCACTCCACTTACATGCACGTTGGACTTTTGGGAAAACAAATGTGACGATGTCACACACCCGTCTTTCAAGCTACTTGTTCCCTCTTCAGGCTAACAATTCCTACCCCTTCAGCTAACATGCACACGTATATTCTAATCTTCAAACGAAGACCATGCAATCTCTACTGTAAGGCTATTCAGTCATTAACGCTTTGCCATCAGCTTTAAATACGTAAGAAAAGGAGCTGTAGACCACTCGTGTCTTGTTTCTAGACACCACTCGAGGTACAAGAAGAGATCTGTCGTCGTCTCATGTATGTCACTTTGCTTCTGGGATCACTCTCTCGTTCTCTCTCTCTCTCTCTCTCTCTC